TGGGAAAACTGACAAAGTTGAGTAATATTGACAACAAAATAAAATCTGTTATTTTTTTTTTGGTATGTTTTTGGCAAAAACATGTCTAGACTTCTAGTATTAGATAATAAAGACAGAAAATCACTGTATCGAATCCACTTAACCTTGAAATATGCTTTTTATGTGTTAAAAAATGTATATCATTTTATAATCTCAGTAAAAATACGTAAAAACTAGAATTGTTATGAACTATAATATTTATGGTTCGAACCAAACTTCTTTAAATTAATGAACTTAAATGAATCGATCCAAATCTACACACTTATAATCAAACCCAAACCAAACTGAATTCTTCAAATATTTTATCRAACTTGAACCAAACATTAAAAAAGTTAGATATTATTTTGTTTAAAATTTATTGATATTTAATATTTATTTTTATTTTTATTTCTGTAGTTGGATTACCAATCAAACTATTAGGTATTTGGTTTGGTTCGATTATTTGGATTTTCAGTTCAAAAATCAAACAGTTGAAACATCTCTAGYAAAAAAATATAAATTCGAGCTCTACTTATAAGTTACGATGTAGTAAAAATTATCTAAACAATATTAATATCTTTGTTTTTAATTCCATTTATTTGTAGGATGTTCAACTTATTTTATTAAACTGGGGTGCTGATTTGAATTCATTGACTAATAGTACACTATTAAAGTGTCAAATAAATGATAGCAAGAAAATTAAACGTCACAACTTTGAATTGACAATGAATTTCTTATCTTATATTGTACTGAAAAATAATAAGAAATTTAGTGAAGATGAACTACTAACATTGGCACAGTATGTTGCTAAAATATCCTTTGATCATCATTGTGGACAAATGATAAATGTTATAAAAAAATTATTTGGTGCTTGTATTGAAACTGCATTACAAAAAGATGATGATACTTCTATTATAACATTTGCTCAAGTATTATACTCCCAATATAATTATACACTACGAAAAATGGTTATTGATTTATTCCTTCCTTTACAAGGAAATATAATAAAAAAAGTATATGCTTATTTAACATTCAAGCTTTATAAGTCACTTTTAGAAAAAACAAACAACATAAGTGCTTTTCCATCTAGTATTAATGAATGGTAAGTATTGTTATTTTAATAGCTATTTTAATTTTCAACATGTTATTAGGTATAAAATAAATAAATTAAGTTCATATTTCTCTAGCAAGAAAAAAATTCTACTTATACTCTCATTTATATTATACATATCTATTAATGAAATCACAATACATTTTCGAACAAATCTAAAATTCTTAAAWTTTTTCTAGGTTTGTTCAAGATTTGGTAAATAAAGATTTTTTCAATAGACAACCAAAAAGATTATTATACCGTCTTATTCGACTGTTGGAGCACATTGTGATTGTTTTTGATTTGTATAGTGATGAAAAAAAACTTAGTGATATGTACGACTTTTTAAGTGCTGTAGCAAAACCTACTGGTTTATCAGATTCTCTGAAACTCATCAACATATTGGATCAATGGAGGCTTCAATTATTCCGATTACATGTAAATCRTAAGAATGTTTTATTCTGATAATCAAATACTATTATTCCTAAGTACAATAACACATTCAGGAGCCATGATTATAATTTATTATACATTAATTTTGTATTATTTTCATTTTCATCTGTACTATTTATTTCCATTATTAATAATTTATTTTATATTGAGAAAAGTATTTGTTTTATTTATTTGAGTAGTGAAACTTAGTTCCAAAGTTAAATTTTATAATGTTTAAAGTAGATTTATGACTGCTTGCATATTTGATTATACTATAATGTTATTATTAACCAACTCAATTATTATGTTTTGTAAATTATTACTATTGTCATTATAAAATATAATATTATGTTATCTGTTGATGACATAATTATTTGAGTTTATTTTTATTTAAACATTAAGTACAAATTAAACTATACCAGAAAATGTATGTGAATATACAGCTCAGAGCTAATGAGCATACGAATGTGTGTTCATTGTTCTTTGTAACTGTTAGCTGATTGCATCAAAAATCAAATGGATCAAACTTATTGAGCTCTACTAGCTCAAAGTCTTGATGATACACTGTCCTTTTGTTTTCATATGATCTTATATTATAAGCAGGGAATAGAATTTATGTGCAATGTTATTTTTCTTTTTTGACAATGTCCTCATACAAATT